CATGCGTTGGTAGATTTCAATATTTTGATGTGCATATTCTAAAATTGCCCTAAAACCATCATCTATACAAACATTTGGACACTTTCATCTCTTCTGTTAGCTGGTAAATGAAGCAATGCTAAAACCTAAATCACAAACATTATATATTTTATATTCAATTTATTTAATTTATATAGGTATAAATATTTCATTACCATGCGCAATATTTGGGCAGCTATACCCACATAGCAAATGAACGTCCATAGTATGTACTTAAATTGTCCTACTAGGATAGTCAGGATTATCCTCAGGACTGCCAAAGGATATCCATAGAATGTCCAGATGTGCTTTTTTTATCCTTTGGACGTCTAGCAAAGATGAACTGAGAATATACTTCCAAGATACCAAATGAATGTCCTTAGTAGGTACTTAAATGGTCCTAGTAGGACGGACAGAACTATCCTCAGGACTGCCAGAGGATATCCTTAGAATGTCCAGATGTGTTTTTTTTTATCCTTTGGACATCTAGCAAGGATGAACTGAGAATATACTTCCCAGATAGTAAATGAACGTCAATAGTATGTACCTAATTGTCCTACTAGGATAGTCAGGATCATCCTCAGGACTGTCAGAGGATATCCTTAGAATTTCCAGATGTTCTTTCTTTTTTTTTGATGACTTGGAAGGATGAACTGAGAATATATTTAACACAAAATTAAGAACTTTTTAGTATAAGTACCTTTGTATTTTATAGAAAAAGTACACATAACAACATTAGTATTATGTAACTGAAGAAAAAAAAAATTWAATTAAAAATGTTACTATAAGACTATGACAGTATTAATAATACAATAAAATAACATATATTTGATTATTATAAAAATACACAAGTCTTATAATTATCACATAATCAAAGTATATATTTCCAAAGGATAATAAATATTTAAATAATGGTAATATGAATTCATAAATTAAAAAAAAATAATTATAGTTCTTTATAAAGTCAGATAAATATGTTTAAAAAATAAAAATAATCTTTTTAGATATTATGGTAACTGATGAAAAAAAGTATTTAAATACAAATTTTACTATGACAGTAATAGTTATACAATAAAATAACATATAATTGATTAGTAGGGTTCGGATTTGAAGGCAAATGCCTTTCTTTTATTTATCATAATAGAAAAATAATTTTTATACAAAAATGTGTTTCATTTAATTTCTTAGACGATGGATGCATTTTTTTTGCCATTTTTTGCCTTTTTACTTATAAATGCCTTTTTGCCTTTTTTTTACCTTTTGTACTTATAAATRCCTATTTTGTGTTTAATTTTTTCAGTTGATTTTATAATTTTATACACAACTTGCGTATTATCGCTACAAATGGGTTTTATTATTGGCAATATTTATCGATATCGTCTTATCGAGTATTTGGTATGGCCATAAAATTACCCGTTCACCTATTTAAAGATATGTTCGTAATGCGTAGATTTAAGATTGTTCGTCAGTCCGCCCGCATGTGTCGATCGCAATAATTGTCGTTCAATAATTTTTCCACACGTTTATTTTTTTTTATTTTGTAGTTTATTTATGAATTGCCTTTTTATATAAATTAAATGCCTTTTTTTACATTTTAAATGCTTTTTTTATTGATTATATTGCCTTCAAATCCGAACCCTGTTGATAAGTATAAAAATACACAAGTCTTACAATTATCACATATAGGTAGTCGAAGTATATATTGCCAAAGGATAATAAATATTTAAATTATGGTAATATGAATGCATAAATTAAAAAAAAAAAAATTATAGTTCAGAATAAACAATCAGATAAACATTTTTAAAACAAATTTAATAATAGATCACATTTATATAGTTTATAATTCACAACCGCATATCAACTTTTAATTTTGTTCCTAAAAAAAATATTAATAATATTAATTGAAATTTCAACAATAATTAATGATCATATAAACTTTTATAATTATTTAACTTACATTTTCTATTACATGGAGATTTTGTTTTGAAAATATTTCATTTGCATGATGTAACCAACTTTGTATTGGTTCTTGTAATTTTTTTTATTGTAACTTTAGGACTGCTTTTCAATACAACTTCTAAAAATAAAATGTTTTGGGACAAAAAACATATTAAATTACAAAAGTATTTAATATAAGCTTTTATTATATGTTTTGTGTGAGCCAACTTTCTAAAATTGCATATAATTTTAACGAAGCAAACACTAATTTAGAAGTTTTTCCAAAAAGTGTCATTTTTGTTGCCAGTTCATTGGTTAATAGAAATCTCATAAGACTAAAAATGCTTTGTTTGTGATCACTTGATATAAGTTTTGACATTTTTTTAGTCTATGAAATCAATACATTTAATTATAGTTATTGATAGGTAGTTAAATATAAATAAAAGCAATTTATTAATACCAAATAATTGTTTGCATTGTCAGTGGTCAGCTTTTCTTCAATTTCAAATAAACTAGTTTCATTCCCAATAGGGAATTGTAAAATTAATTTATCAAGTTTTAAATCATTTTCTGGATGGTTGTCAAAAATAAGTTGTTTTAGAAGTTGGTTATTAGCATTTACAGATTTCTTTATAATTGAAATGTCACTTTTAAGTTGAGCAATAGATTTAATTAACCATATTTGAGTTTCGTGACTGTTAAATGGTCCTAAAATAAAATATAATTGTTTTTATACCTGATTATTAAAATGTATTTAGGAATATTTACCATCATTGTTGAAATTATTTTTGCAAATCGTTAACTTCTGCTACTGGCATTAAATCTGATGTGTCATCATTATTTTCAGAACCTTATAAAATTATGATAATATAAATCACAAGTTAAATAAAAATTATCAATTGAAATTAAAATAATTAAAATACCTGCTGGTTCAATTTCAAAGGGTAATTGATTAATATTGAGATCAATATCTTCAAATAAATTTGGAGACAACAAAGACAACTGTGAAACATTGAGTTCCAAGTTTTGACATCCTAAAAACATCACAAGAATGATTTAACTTATAACCATTAAACACAACTTGGATAAATTATAAATATACTACTTGAATCACTTGAGGTACTGGGTAAAGGTGAAATTGAAGCATAATTAATTTGACATTTTTTAATTTTTTGGCATGGTGTAACGACTGTCACTGACTCTATAATAGTTAAATATTGAAATTAAATAACTGTAACATCATTAATAACTACTCAAAATTGTATGTTACCCGAATTAAATAAACATTTTTGAGATGAAACAACAGGAGAACATAATTGCTTTTCATAAATAGGTTTCTGGATGGATTTATATTTTTTTTTTACCTTTGAATAGTTTTGACATTTCTGTAGTATCATATTTATAAAACATTTTTTTTTTTTAACTACCTGAATTAAACAAACGCTTTTTCTCACTATTATGTTTCTGAGTAGATGTATACATTTCTTCTTTTGCTAAATAAAATTATTTTAGTTTATTAAAAATCAAATTATTATTTTAATTTTATGATTCATGTATATAATTACCAGGTGGATTTGGAAATGGAGGAATATTATTACCAAGATTATTACTTATTGGATCAGAATTTTCATCAAATTCATCACTATCACTAAATGATTTTGCAGCATAAACTTTGCGCATTTTCAATGCAGTACTAGAGTAACTTTCAAAATCCGACCTATACTCTGCTTTACTTAATATTTCTTTAGCTTTAACAAAATCGTCGAGAAACGAATCGTCCAATTAATATATCAAATGCATGTCAGACCTGTTTTTTTAAATATCTTTTTAATATTATAAACGTCCCAAGTAGTTGTAGGTGTATTTGGAATTTCCATTGATATACAACAGCGTGGTCATACAATTTGAAGCTTTTGTAATTTGGAAAGAAACTTGATTTTTCATTAATTAACCAATTACTTGGAATAATTTCAAATTTGTAATCCATCGTCAAATTCAACAACTAAAAATCTAAAAATTTACATATTAATAATTTGTATATCATATATAAGTTTTATTTAAAATTTGTACCATTATATTATTATTAAATATTAAAATGTAGGTGCCTTGATTATTGTTAAGGTAACCATAATTATGTAGGTACCTATAATTAATATTTAGAAAAATTTACGTATCTGGTATATCATCACTATCAGAATGTAAAAGAGGAAAAACTACAAACTTATTTATATTCCAAGGAAGTCTATAACGAAAACATTTTTTTTGCACCTGACAAATGGACCAAGTACTTATTGATGACAATTTACCTACTACATAATTACCAAGTAATGATGATGGACWAGGAGTTTTATAAAGATCATCTTGCTCCAAAAAATGTTTTCCTTTTAAGCCAAATCATTTAGAATTTATATCAAACAGAAATTCCTTAATTAAAATAATTTCACCAGTTTTTAATATACAACAGTTATTTTTTGAGTTATTCGATATTAATGTAAATCCATTGAAATTTAAATAATTATTTTTGTTATTACAAGGTATAGCACTATTCATCTTTTTTATATTCCCAAACAATCCAATATTTTGTCGTTCTACATATCGCCAACTAATTTGTTGTAACGGTTTATCACTTTTACGAATCATTTATTTCAATTGCTGCGTAAAATTTTCGAATTTGAAAGCACTAAATTGGCCAAGTGTTCCATGATATTTAACATCATCTGCCAAGTGTAAGAGTCCATGAATATTATGAATATTGAATACCATATAAAACTTCAAAAGAAATAACAAAGTGTCTTAAGAACTCTTCAGCATAGTTTATACATTTTAAATGTAATTCATAGGATGATAAAATAGATATAGCTACATGTAATGATAAAAAATGATTATAAACATCTTTAGAAACAATATCTTTAAGAACAACAGGGCCACTGTAAAGGAGAAATTGTCTAAATTCTGTGGTTTTCCATTGTTTATAAACCATAAATGATCGAGGCTTTCTTTGAAATTCTAGAGGCAAAAATTTACTTACATGTTTCAAAAGCCTATCAGTCATCAGAAATAAGACATAATTTTCTAACCAGAAGTCTAACACTCAAACGATCAGTTGTCCATAGTTTAAATAGTTTTTTTACTACACCTAAGCATACGAGATGCATATAATCTAATGGAACTTGTGCTACTAGATCAAAATTTGTAATGTCAATTATAGGGCATTCACCTAAATGATATTCTTCATCAGAATAATTTCGAAAGTCATTATCATTTCGAAGTTTAGCAACTATTGGAGGAAAACATACTCCTTTATTATGATATTCTCCTTCAATACAACATTTAGTGCAGCTATAATACCCACTATGCCCTTTGACATTTAAAATAAATGAGTTTGCTGGTGTGTCAGCGGTTAAAATTCTAATTTTAAGCATTATTTTTTTATTTTCAAACTAAAAACCATTTTGAATCAAAGATTTTGCTTCAGTATTAAAATCAGCCATAAAACTTATTGCACATTTTGGCTTAGTACTTTCAGTACTATGAAAAGCACCAATTAAAAATATAAAATTAATTTTGACCTAAAATTGACCATAAATTATTTGATGATGATTTAGACTGTGGTAGACCATCAACACCAATAATTATTTCAATTTCATTATTATTTGGTAAAAAATTATTTTATTTTTTTTGTAAATATTGATTTAAACCATTTTCTAAGCCAAAATGACGACAAATTCCAGAATACCTATTGTATTTACATAATAGATCATATGAAGATGTTAAGTTTGTAATGTTTGTTAACAGATTGTTTTTTTACTGCAAATTAATACTATATTAAATAATAAAGAATTTATTCAATATAATATATTATGTATAACAATCAACTTCCTATTATAAATTTTTAAAATAAAAGGAGTAAACAGGTATGTATTTTATACTAATATGTATATAGGAGATAAGATATCATTCGATAAGTATTTCAGGACTTCAGGTCACTTAAATGTTAATATGTAAAAAACACGACACATTTACTAAAAAAAAAAAAAATATTAAATTGTAATGAAATTATTATTTTACATGAATTTTAAAAAGTAATTGGGTTAGAAATATAAATCAGGTTATGGTAATATGGTGTATAATAATTAATAATTTTTATGCCTTATGGCCTATGGGTTCGTTAGTATTTTTAAGCAAACATGAGCTTTAATAAATAAATAGGTTGCAGCTCGTGATCTAGCAGTCACGTTTCACGCGCTAGTGAGTAAGAAATACATGGACGACAATTAAACAATTTACGCAACGACTTTAAACAACATGACGGTCTGTGCAATAATAATGTACCTCTCCAGCGATCACTACGCGGCCAGTACGCGCGGACCACGTACATTTCCCCAACCCCACCCATTTCGATTCCTGCCACAATCCCCAGAATTCCTGCTCAAATACCGCCCCCGCAATTACTGAAAAATTCCGGGTGGGGCGGGA